CGGCTGAAGTCCTCACCTTGCACGCGCCAGAATCCCATATGGGCATCAGTTCTAATCCCAGCAGCCCGCTTCCCATCCATCATCCTGCTTGAGGCCTGGGAAAGCAGTTGAGGATGACCCAAAGCCTCAGGACCCTGTGTCCATGTGGAAGACCTGAAAGAAGCTCCAGGCTCCTGGCTTCAGATTGGTGCAGCACTGGCTGTTGTGGCCACTTGTGGAGTGAATCAGCAAACTGAAGATCTTCCTTTCTCTTTCTCCTCCTCTCTGTATACTTAACTTTCCAATAAAAATAAAGAAATCTTTAAAAATATAGTGGATAGAGCTGAGGTCTGCCATACTATAAGGTAGAGTTAATCACAACAGTAATATGATAAAGCACTTGTGTGTGTGTGTGTTTTTTTTTTAATTCTGAAACTCAGATTTACAGAGAGCGTGAGAGATCTTCCATCCACTGGTCCACTCCCCAAATGGCTACAATCACCAAGTGGACCAAGCTGGAGCCGGAAGCCTGGAGGTTCTTCCCAGGCCTCCATGTGAGTGCAGGGGCACACACACTTGGGCCATCTTCTGTTGCTGCCCCGGCACACTGGTAGGGAGTGAGACAGGAAGTGGAGCAGCTGGGATGCGGAGCAGAATGGCAGCCACATGTTACGGAGCATCACCGGCAGCTTTTCTTGTTGCGCCAAAACGCTAGCCAATGCGTTACGTTTTTTTTAAGGGAGGAAGTAAGATTGCAGCTTTTGTAGTAATAAATGATACATGATAAGAATATGTGCTGTGCTATTTAAATTTTATCTTGTAGGATAAGAAAAGGGACTTTGAATAAATGTTAAGTGGAGTACATAAAAAGCGTGTGATCGTAAGTAAAGAGAACAATAGTCAGGGTAGAAACACATTCCAAGGCCAACTCCTACTTTTCATTAAAACCACTTGGCAGGCTCGGCGCAATGGCCCAGCCTTGCATCTTTTCGGTTCCCACATGGGCACTGGTTCTTGTCCTGGCTACTCCATTTCCCACCCGGCTCCCTGCTGGAAAGCAGTCGAGGATGATCCAAAGTCTTGGGACCATGCACCTGCTTGGGAGACCCAGAGATGGCTCCTGGCTTCGGACCAGCTCAGTTCCAGCTGTTGTGGCCACTTGGCGAGTGAGCCAGCACATGGAAGGTCTTTTCTCTGTCTTTCCTTCTCTCTGTAAATTTGCCTTTCCAATAAAAAGAAAATCTTACATATAAAAAAAAAGTCGCCGTCTGTGCTCTTCCTGCCTTCCAGGGTCCTCAGCATAAGCACAGGGTTATCACTACAGAAAGTTTGCAACGTCCAGAAAGTGCAAACAAGGCTTACCAACAGTTTAATTTTGTCCAGGGATTCTCTCATGGGAATAACTATTGTTTGAGATTCTCTTAGTCTATCATATATGGCCGCACATATTTTTCTATGTAGTAATTCTATATAATCATATCTCTGTATTTTATGTAATTCATATGATAAATAGTAGGAAGATGGGATTATATTTTGGTGACTGTGTTTATCATTACATTTATGCATATCATACATTTATGCAATTAGTCCGTGAAAATATGAAAAATATGTCTTCAGAATATCAAATTTGGGAGTGAAGAGTGCAGGAGTATTTTCAAACTATAGTTAAAACCATGTGAATACTAATGATAGGCTTGTCTCGGTGATTTTAAGGAAACCAAAAGTTCTTTGGAAGCAGAAGTTTAATATTCTTTGAAAGTTCAAAAAAGTAATATGTTGCTTTAAAATTAACATATCTCTAAGAAAATTAATATGTACATGTAAATTTAATATGCATAAGACAGTTGGAAAATTTGCAAATGAATGCTCATATCCTTATTAGTATGTACCTTCATATGTTTTCTTAAATTATATTTTCTTCTTTGCACTAGTTAGAAAATGAAGCTCTGAATATGCTTCCCTTAAATGACTATGTATTCTTCCATGTATAACATCTTTACAAGATTTAGTTATTTATTTGAATGTCAGATTTATTGAGAGACAGAGAGACAAAGATCTGCCATCTGCTGGTTCACTCTGAAGGTGGTCACACAACCAACCACCAGTCCAAGAGCCAGGACCCTAACCCGGGACAGACGCATGGCAGGGGTTCAGACATCTGAGCCACCTTCCACTGCTTGGCTGGACACATCGGCAGGGAGCCGGAAGCAGAGCAGCCTGGGCACAAACCCGCACCATACGGGATGCCACTCCCAGGCAGCAGCTTCCCTGGCCCTGTAAGGTGATGTTTAAACAGCTGATATGATTGTATGTTATAAACCCATTCGAAACAATCTCCTGGCATTTGAGCACTTGTGTTACGTACACTTTCCCACTATGTCATTTGTGGCTCCATGAATGTGAAGTGTTCAGTTCTCCAACACAATCATGCCGAGTGCATCATACTTTTCTTGGATGTACATGGTTATTAGGGGCTCATGTGTTTTAATTCTTGTTGGGACCTCAGTCTCACCGTCCCTAAGTTATTGGTGGACAGGTCTAACGCACTCTCATTCTCAGAGCACTGATCCCTAACAGAGGAGAGCTGCATAATTGGGTAGTGTAATTTGTGAAACATGAGACATAATCCAACAGAATGGACACCGTGTGCACCTGCATGTCTATGTGAGGATGTAAAGAATGACTCCGAGGAACTTTGATCCTGGACCACCAGGATGACTTCGAGTTGGGGACAAAGCTTGTTTTTTTTTTTGTTTGTTTGTTTGTTCGTTTTGGCGGAGGGAAAAGTCAGATATACAGAGATGAAGATCTTCCGTTCGTGTCCGTTGAGTCACTCCCCAAGTGGCTGCAATGGCAGGAGCTGAGCCGATCTGAAGCCAGGAGTCTGGAGCTTTTTCTGGGTCTCCAAAATGGCTGTAGGGTCCCAAGGCTTTGGGCCGTCCTCAACTGCTTTCAACAAGCAGAGAGCTGAATGGGAAGCGGGGCCACGGGGATATGAACCGAAGCCCATACAGGATCCCTGGCATGTGCAAGGTGAGGACTTTAGCTAGTAGGCTACCGCTCTGGGTCCCAGGATTTGTTCTTGTTTGTTTTCATATAAAGTATGAGTCTGTCACAATGATTTTTTAATATAAAAAAGCCTTTGGGTAGGAAAATTGTATTATTGAGTGTGTTGTGCAGAACCACCAGAAGTCACATTTTATTCCCACTGTTATTAGACCAGGATGTTAGGTTCTGATTAAGAGTAAGTAGCTCCTTGCTTTTCAGGAGTCAGCTGAGAAGTGGCAGCATTTTCTTCGTCTAAGCAGGATATTTTACGTCTGGACCTTTGAACCCAAGCACACATTCCATTCGTTTCACTGCTTCATTCCAGAAACTGTCAGAGGTGAAAACCTGCTATTGTAACTCTTGTTAAACTGTTTCCATCTTGCTTTCTGCAATTTTGTAAAGTGTTTCTCACTTCTTTTTAAAGCAGCAGTACAGTGTCCAGCTTTGATAAACACTCAAATCAACCAGTGGGCTTAGTTCCCTTACATTTCTCCACCAACAGTTGGCTTTAACTTTTACAATCAGCAACAGTTCCTCAAGCTTTTTTCTTCATTTTGTATGTCTGGGTAAGAAATAGATTTTAAGACTGGAATAAAAACAGGCTTGGATCAAAGGTAACCAGATCTTCCATGACAGTGGAGCAGAAGAAAAGCTCAGCATGGAAACCTGAACTATTAAACTTGAGAATCCACGCAGACAAGACTCATTTTGGACCTAAATGTCAATGAGACAGCAGGAAGGCGCAGCTCCCTAAGGAAAGGCCTCTCTGAAGAGCAGTTTTGTCTCCAGACAGCTTGGGCTGCTGCAGCCTCAGCAGGGGTCCAGGCCTTTAGGAGAAACCCATCTTGAGCAACAAAGTGAAAGACATCTTTGCTGAAGAGAGCCGCTGCCAGCAGGCTCCTCCACCAACAGCACCTGTGAGCACTGCTGGGGTTCTGCCTTTAGGAGGTCCAGGAAGTGTGTGCTAATATCCACGCAGCACAGTCATCCTGTATCCGGGACGGGCAGTGGCTCCCAGGGACACTAAATGACTTGTCCTGGTAGCTGTCACTGGCCGGGGCATGGTGACTGCACACTGCTGCATCCCACTGCACGGATGCAATTCCGTTACCCGAATCTCATTCTCTCCAGCTGGCTTCCGGCTGGCTCCAAGTGGGACTTGCCACACAGCCAGGGTAGAGGAGCATCCGCAAAGCAGGGTCATTTGCTCACAAGGCCACCAACTCTTCTCCCAGACGTGTCAATTAGAGTGGTGATGAAGACACTCCAGATTGGGATACTGAGATAGGAACTGAGGTGGTGGCGTGCAGCTGGCAGAACCACTGCAATGTGGCAAGCTAATGTCTCCTGGAACCTTCTCTAAAGACAAGTTATTCCTAGACCTACCCACACCCTCCTCATTTTGTTTCTAGATCCTGCGCCTCTGGTTACATGTTTTCCCTACAAAACTTCATTTGTAGCCAAGGTCAGTGGCCATCCTTGGCAAACTGTCAGAGCTTTGCTACTTTCACTCCGAAACTGACTCAGTGTCCCGAGGCCACATGCAAAATGAAATACACTTAAAGTAGATAAATCTAAAAAATAAAGTTTTGACAAACACGATTTCTTTGTCTTTTCTGCGTTTGACGCAGTTCAAACCTTTAAGATAACGTTTATTAAGAGCTGCTCCCCTTGGAGAGGCAGAAAAGGAGGTCACTGGCAGGGGCCCGGGGACGCAGCACGTGACAGTCCTCCACTGGGGAAGCCGGCGCGTCCGGGGCCGGCTCGCCTCCTGCAGCCTCCGGGCTCGCGGGCCCCCCGGGTCCCCAGGACCCCCGACCCGCTCGGCCCGCCCGGCCCGCCAGCCCCGGCCCGGGGTGTGGCCGCCGGCCGCTGCAGCCCGACCCGGAAGTGCTCGGCGGCGGCCCAACCGGCGCCCGCGCGCGCGCTGCAGCTCCCGCCGGCCGCCGGCTGTGCGCGCCCGAGCCGCCAACATGGCCGAGACGAGCGAGGAGGTGGCGGTGCTGGTGCAGCGGGTGGTCAAGGACATCACCAACGCCTTCAGGAGGAACCCGCACATGTGAGTGGCTCGCCTGCCGCCTCCGGGCGCCGCGGGCCCGTGCGCCCCTGGGCGCGGGGGACGAGCCGTGTCCCGGGGCGCGCGCCAGGCCGGCGTGAAGCACCCCGGCACCCCCGGACGCGCCCGCGGCCAGCCCCCCGGGACCTCGGGAGCTCCGCAGAGCGACCTGGCCGGCTGCCCTTCCGCAGCTTTCCCTGGAGTTGGGGGAACTCGGGGCGACCTCCCCCGCTCTGGGGTTCGCTCCGCGTCCCCCGGCGCCGGGGCTCCGCGCGGGCTGCGGGCGCCCGAGGGGGTCGCCGGGAGCCCTCGGTGTGCGCCCTGAGGGTGGCTGCCGCCTGCCCTGTGCCCCACTCCGCGGAGACGTTGTGTCTCAAGGTGAACGGAGCGGTCCGCCGAGCGCTGGCCGGGGCGCGGGCGCCGGCACGGCTCGATTCATAAAGTTAGCCGAGCGGATGTTTGTATCCGCCGCCCTGGAGCGGGATGGACACACGCTGTCTCTTTCTCCGGGTGCGTTCGGCTCGGAGTCCGCTCAAGTCCGGATTCTTGGCTGACACTTCAGCTTTTATGTAACATTAAAAGCGAGCTACAACTGTTCCAAAGCGGAGTAAGAAAGAAGCCAGCTCGTAGTTCCTTTCCCATTCCCCTCCCTGGAGGAAAGAAACTTCAGATCCAGCTTTGCGGGGAGTTGGCACTTGACCGAACTGGGTTTTTAGGGGGGGGGGGGGAGGAGTGAGGAGTGTTTTTACTCCCCCCTCCTTTTTTTTTCTAAACCCGAAGACTGGTGACTCTTTGAAAGGATATAAGTCGCCGCTTAAGGTTTTTGTTTTGTTATTTTTTCCTGCCTGGCAGAGGGAGGGAGCCTACATTGTAACAGTGCGTTCTCTTCCCCTGAGGTGATGATGATTATAAAAAAAAAAAATTGGGCGGCCTGCACATGTCTTACTCCCTGTGGTGCACAGTTGGAGATAATGCAACCGTGTCTCATTAAAAACAAATCTGACCTCGAAGACACCTGCCGCTTTTGACAGCCGCTGCTCCCCTCCCCGTCCCCTGGGCTGCCTCCGTTCAAAATGAGCGCGTCCCCAGTGATCTGGCAGCGTGTAGTGGTCGCCGGGCCTGTGGAAGGATTCCTGGATGGCTGGGGTTTTCTTCTTTCAAGCCCCTTTTTCAGACTGGGTGTCTTAGTGCACAGGAGGGGACAGCTGGAGGCCCTATTTCTCATCCTTGGCGTTAGTTTTTCTAGAAGAAATTTAGCAGAAGTTGAAGGTCTAATAAAAACAATGATCATCTCAGGTTCTCCCTGAGCTTGGCTGAAAGAGCTGTTATTTTATTTGAAGAAACTTGGAGTTGGGTGTCCGTGACTTGGCAGTGTTTCTGAGTCGTGTGCACCAAAACTCCGGAATACATAAGCCCCCTTCTCCGTGCTTGCCGTGAGTCTCCATGTACTGCCTGTCCGCGTTGTTTATGAGCGTTTTGTTTGTCCTTTTGCAAGTCCCGGGTACAGTGAACATTGGAGTAAGTGCAGTTCTGGTCTGAATGTTCCCATGCTTCGAATTGCTGTTTACTCCTCAGCTGTGTTTTGGTGGTGTTCCCTGTAGTAACTGTCTTGGTACTCATCTTTACTGCGGTTATTATATTGCAGTTTCTGCTCTTTAAAATGCTGTTTGGAGTTTAGGCCTTTCAAAGCCGTCTGTGCTTCTTCCCCAGTCTGTCCTTTTTAACTCCCCAAATAAAAAGACTGCATATAGTTTAAAAGAAGAGCATGTTTACTCTTAAAGTTAGTAGGTAGCTTTGCCATTTGTTATACTTTCAGTATTATCAAAGTTTTTTCTTTTTCTTCTTTCCTCCAAGAATCCAGAGTATAGTCATTACTGAATTAAGTGTGTTGACTTAGTGTGGAAATATCGAGCCAGAAGGAATCAAAGATGGAGTAGGTGGCTTTTGGATTTTGTTACTGTTAGGGTCTTTGTTCCCGGCGTTGGTTGCTGCTTGATCTTTGGATGCTGAAGAGAACAAAGGGAAACTCGCCTCCACGCGTGACATTCAGCTGCCACTGTTCAGGAGGAGAACTGAGCGGAATCTGTGTTTCTCCCTGTGGATGATGCCTGTGTAGCACTTTAGAAACTGGGGACGCAGTACAGATGCGGCTTATCCGCTGGTGACGTCCTTGGGGTTCTCTGCAGCTGAGGACTTGACCTAGGGAAGGCGTAGTTAGCTCAGTGTGGAGGAGTGCAAATGTACGAGTTGACACTGTTACCACAGGAAGGCCATGTTGAATCACGAGGACCCAGCAGGTCAGTACTGAGCTCTCACACGGAAGCTCAGTTCTAGGCACTAACGGGAGTGTCTTGGGCGGTGGGAATGTTCCGGAGGACTGTTTCATCTGGTATTCACTGGCCATGTGTGGCTGTAAGCACTTGAACCGTGCCTTATGGGAATGGACATTGAACTTTCCAAGTGGGTCCGTTGTGGTTGGTTGATGGAATTGTAATGACAGCGTGCTCTCAGTGGCCACTGCAGCCTTAGACCAACCTCCAGAGAGAGTCGAAGGGCCCTGCGGAGGCAGGTTGGAGTTGAGGGGTGAACCCCCGGTGTGATGCTGAGCCAGTGGCATGGGAGCTGGGAGGGGCTGAGTGGGTGCGTCTGGGTGGTGGTGGAGGTGACTTTGAAACTCAACAGTGAGGTCTAGGGGAGTACTTACTGAGGGAGTCAGAGCAGTGCATCAGCCAAAAGTAGGAGGCTGGGGTAGGAATATGCAGTCAGGCTGGCTTGTTATGGAAGAATTCGACTCCCTAGTTAAAATCTTTTTATTATTATTATTATTCATTCGCTCACTGAAAGAGTGCTTCTGTGGCATGGTGCTAGTCTGTCAGTGTAAAGGTCTAGAAGCTCGGTGTAGATCTTAGAACCGGCTGGGAATAGCCCTGCCTTAGGGAATGTTGAACTAGTCAGTATTCTGGCTGTAAGAGGGGCCGGTTGAGTGAGAAGGGCGCTCTGAGAAAAGTCCAGGGGGTTCTAGTGTAGATCAGAAGTTGCAGGCAGAACTTGCGAAAAACAGCATTTCAGCTGAGATAGAAGACTTGGAGGGAATTGACTGGGGAGATTACAGTGCCCCAGTGGGAGTGAAGTGAAAGCGCTTTTAAAAGTTCTGTCAGTTGAAATGAAGACTAGGAAGCCATAGAGTCTATTCGTCTTATTCTGGTTTTCATTTCGTTAAGATTTAATTAGACAAAAATAGGCAAGTTTGAGTTCAGAGTTTAACAGTGCTGGATTTGAACCGTAGTTTGTCATTTGCTAGATGTGTAGTTTTCAGCCAGATCCTTTTGTTATCTATAACATAGCGGATAAAGTCCTGCTTTGTAAGTTACTGTGCGGGCTGAGTGAGATGCCTTGAGGAGCCACCTGTGAGGTGACAGGTAACCAGCAGTATCCGGAAAGCTGTTTGTGAAGAAAGTCACTTCCGTCATTTCAGCAGTGCACAAAGCTGGCAGTCTTTAGAATGAATGAGAAGGCTTATGGAATCTATGAAATAACATTTTTTAAAAAAAGATTTGTTGATTTTTATTGGAAAAACAGATTTATAGAGAGGAGAGAGAAATCTTCTGTTTGCTGGTTCACTCTTCAGTGGCTGGAGCTGAGCCAAGCTGAGCTGAGCCCAGCCGAACTGGGCCAGCCTGGACTGAGCCCGGCTGAGCTGGGCTGAACCAAGAGCTAGGTGCTTCTTCCGGGTCTCTGAGGGTTCAGGGTCCCACGGTGCTGGGCCATTCACCACTGCCTTTGCAAGCCATAAGCAGAGAGCAGGATTGGAAGTGGAGCAGGCGGGACACGAGCTAGTGCCAGTATAGGATGCTGGTGCCTACAGGCGGACGGTTAGTCTGTTGAGCTATGGCGTCAGCCCCGAGATTTCTGAAGTATTTTAATTACCAGTAAAATTTTAATTATCAATATGCAAAGGTCAGTTTTTTCAGATGTTTTAGTAACTTTTCCTTCTGGCCATTCTTAGAATAATTCCACTTGAATAAAATAAACACTAAAGTTAAAACATTTGTGCCATTTCTTGAGTCCTTGGCTGTTTTGGGATTCAGGGTTCAGTGTTAGTACTGGGAGATTATTCCCTTCTTTCAGAAAGGAAGGTGATGGGTATTTGGTGGCTCACTCATTGGTGGGTCTGGTTACACTCTGTCCTGACTTTGGCACCTGCCAGTGGGTGTTGCAGACTAGCCTGTCCCTGCCTACCTCCAGACCTAACCCACATCTGTGCTAGCTAATACTGTAGTCCGCCCCCAGCTTTGGTTCTCGTGCTCACCAGCCAGGGCTGCATGTTAACAGGGGTGTTCCCCACACTTCCCATCAGCCCAGTCACCAGTCAGATCTGCTACACACCAGTGGGTGTTTGGCTCAGTCTGACTTGGTCCACCTCCAGTCCCAATCTTCACCGGCAGTACTGTGGCCTTGCAGACCAGCCCATACCCATTCTGGCTCCTGCTGATGGGTGCTACAGCCAGCCCTGCCTGGCCCAATGCCAGACCCAGCTCTCATGTGAATTAGTGGGTGCCATGACCTACTCAGGTCCATCCCACACCCACTCTGGATCTCGCATACACCAGTGGGTGCTGGAGCCTAGCCCAGGCTGGCACATCCCGGACGCAGTCCACACCCATGCTAAGGGATGTTGTAGCTACGTTCAACCCAAACTGCCTGCCCCCATTTCTGGCTCTTGTGCTCAGCAGTGGGAACTGCAACCCAGTAGGCGTGTCCCCTTAACTCCCCTACCCTGTCCACTCCCAGCACAGGTATTGCACCTGCTGGTGATTGCTCCGACCCAGCCTAGCATGATCTAACCTCCTTCCTGGCCCTTGCTGTTGCATGCTGCAGCCTAGGCTGACCTGGCCAGCCCCTCATCCCAACTCTCACTGGTGGGTACTGCAGCCTAAGTCTGCCCAATTTGCCCCATCCCTGGCTCTCTTGTAAACTGGTGGGTGTGATAGCCTAGTCTGGTATGGCCTGCACCCTGTCCTGGATCCTGCTCTTGCCAGTATGCTGTGCTTTGGCACAGCCTTGTCTGATCCATCCCCGACGCCAGCTCACATACCTGCCAAGTGGAGGAGCATCTTTGTCTGGTCTGACCCACATCCAGCAGACTCTTGTGCTCACCACAGGAGCTACAACACAGTAGGAGAGTTCCGCAGGTTCCCCCCACCAGCCCTGCTCCCAGACCTGGACCTCACGAGTGTCAGCGGGTGCTAGGGCCCCACTCAGCATAATCTGTCCCCCAGTCACACGGCCTTTGTGTACACTGGTGGGTGGTGGTCGATACAAACTATCTCAGCTCAGGTCTGCCATGTGGACTGTCTGTCCCAGAATGGTCCTCCGGTTTCCCTCCTCCAAGCCACGTGGTGTCAGCCCTCTTGTGTACCCGCAAGTGCAGTAGTTTGGTCAGTGGAAGTCCCCCAGAAGTCATTCTTCACCTGTAACACACTCAGCAGTCCTCTCTCCCACACATCCCCGTGCGCCCTTTCCTGAGCCGTCCGCAGCCCCCATGACCTTGAGCATGTGGGTCCCAGTAGTGCAGCGTACCAGCCTGAGGCCCTGCCTGGGGCCCATGCAAGCTTGCCCACAGTTCCCACACCTTGGCTGCCAGCGTCCTGGTGTGCCGACTTGCTGGCATTTACCTCCTACATATCTTTAACAAAAAAGGAATAAATGAGTATGCTGGCACACTGGTATAGTTAACAGAAATTTGGCATTAACCAGGCTCAGGATGCCCACCAGCTGTTGGCTGCTTTTCTCCCAGCAGTGTAACGCTTGCCTGGGTACAAGGCAACCTGGGCAGTTGCCTTCAGTTGAGGAAAAGTAATATTTTTAAAGGAGGAAGTATGTGAGGCTTTAAAACTATGTAATAGAAAAATGTTTGGAAAAGCTGATATTATATTATGTATAATTTCTTGTGTGTTTTGCATTACTAAGAGATGAGATTGGCCTGATTCCCTGTCCTGAAGCACGGTATAACCGGAGTCCCATAGTCCTGGTTGAAAACAAGCTTGGCGTGGAGAGCTGGTGTGTCAAGTTCCTTCTGCCATACGTGCACAACAAGCTCCTCTTGTACAGAACGAGGAAGCAGTGGCTGAACAAAGATGGTAAGTGTAGACTGCACCTTCTGTGCATGGGCTTTGGGAGCGACAGGAATAGAATGAGCATGCCTGGGTTCTAGCTGTGCCCCCTCATTCTCTGCCTGGACAGGTGCTGCACCTGTCAGGAGAGGCATTGCAAAAGGATCACTGGTTTTTACATTTTGCATGTATAGTGGTTTTGTGGAAGTGCAGCAAATTTGATTCTAGGTGAAGTGCAACCACAGCTGTTCTAATTGTGTTTATCAGTCCAGATGGGTGATGGTCAGCTGAGGGCGGCAGTTGTTTGTTGTGTATATTGTATTTTTGCCATTGCATTTGAATCCTGGTTGAGTTCCAGCCCTCCTTGTCCTGTCCCAGTGCTGAAGTGAGCACAGGAAACCATGCAGGTGTTCAGGAGAGTTCTTCACTGCAGCCGACTGCCTGATACCGCAGCTCTTCCCACCGGTTCAGACTCGTGTGCGCAGTCCCTGTTGACTCTTGGCTCCCTGCAGCTCTCGCTTCTTGAGGGCTCCCGGTAACAGCTGCCTTCTGCTGCTGTAACGGTTATTGCCTTCCCACATACCGTGTCAGGCCCTTCGGCACATGCACTGTGCTTGGAGGCTGATTTTAAACAAGAACTTCATTTCTTAGAGAATTTTAAAAAAGATTTATTTATTTTTATTGGAAAGTCAAATATACAGAGAGGAGGAGAAACAGGGGAGGATCTTACATCTATTGATTCACTCCCCAAGTGGCCACAATGGCCAGAGCTGAGCCGATCTGAAGCCTGGAGCAGGAGCTTCTTCTGGGTCTCCCACATGGGTACAGAGTCCCAAGGCTTTGAGCTATCCTCGACTGCTTTCCCAGGCCACAAGCAGGGAGCTGGATGGGAAGTGGAGCAGCTGGGATTAGAACTCATATGGGATCCTGGTGCGTGCAAAGCGAGGGCTTTAGCTGCTGGGCTAACACACTGGACCTTAGAGAATTTTAATTACCAATTTGGTAGTCATTACCAAGAGCATAGTCATACTGGAAGCAGTTCTGAGAACTGTGGGAAATGCAAAGATGAATAATCCAAGGCCCTTTTGTTAAGTTGACAATAAATGATAAACAGTCTGAGGATGCAAGATGTGGTGAAGAACATCAGCAGAGACATGACACACCGATGTCCCTGGATCCTTTCAGCACCGTGGTGGGCATCGTGCGGTTCCAGGCTGCTAGCACTTCCCCCATTGAGACCTCAGAAGAGGGGTCTTCCAGAGCAGTAGTATCCTTTTCTGAGTTATTCCTCTCAGCCAGTGCTTGTTACCCGTTTGGTTGGCTGGTTGGTTGTTTTTTGTTGTCTGAAACACCAAGTAACAGGGACAGGCAGAGAGACAGAGTTCTGTGTCCACTGACGGACTCGCAGGTGCTGCAGTGCTGGCCGGGACGGCTGAAGCCAAGGAGCCAGGAGGTTTGTCTGGGTCTGCCATGTGAGCGCGGGCCAGCTTTTGCTACTTTCTCACGTAGATTAGCAAGGCTATGGATGGCAAACCGAGCAGCCAGGACTTGACCTGGCACTTATTTGAGCTCCACAGTGCAGCTGGCAGCTTAACCCAACACACCAGAAAGCAGACCTGTTTGTTTTCATCTTGAAAGGCAGAGTGACAGAGAGATGGGGGACAGCGGGACAGGTGCTAGAGGAAGGATGGAGAGAATCCACTTGTTAACTTGAAGGAAGTTCCTAAATTTAGGCCTGGCTTAACTTTAGAGCATAGTCTTAAGTCTTATAGTATAAACTTTACAAGCATGAATTTAGGCATAAACCCAAGAGGTTTCGTCTTTTAATTCCCTAGCTTATCACCTTATGAATCACTCAAGTTAGTTTTGATGAAATGAAGCCAGATTGTATTCTACTCATGATAATATTTTAAATCAACACAGACCAAAGAGAAACTGCAATATGGTTTTTAAAAGGTCGGAGGTTGTGCTTGTCTCAGATCGTTAGTTTTTGCCCATTGTCATGTATTATGCCACCCCCCAGCCCGTGGCCTTCCGGAGCTGCCCAGCTAGCTGCACTCCGAGCACTGTGCTTGGGTCAGGCCAGCTGGTGCAGGTCACTCGGGAAGAGCGCTGTCTAAACGCAGCTGGATAACACCGCGTGTGCAGGGCAGCTTCGGGGTCGCCTAACTTGCACCCTTGTGGAACTAGTTTTGAGGTTGTGGAGGAGAACATAATTTCTTGTGGTATCACACCTCCAGGTTGTGTGTTTGTAGTATTGTCAGTAAAAAATGAGGAATTGAATTTTTGACTTGATGGAAAAAATTTCCGCAAATGCTCAGTAATGAGAGTATTCTGCCAGACTTATGAATCAAAGTAATTGGAGCATAGGTGAATATGGTGAAGAAAATGGTGAAAATATTGGGAAAAAGCATTTACTCCATGAATAATTCTTTGCCTTTAACCCATTTTGTTTATTACTCATATAAAGAGCCAAATAAACAAAGCTGACGGTTTCGAAAGGAGCTCAGAACATCAGTGTCTGCCATCACCGATCATTCTGGAACCCCAGAAAGGCAGCTGATGTGGGTTTCACAGCTGAAGTTGACCTTGACTCCTAGAGCCCCAGAAAGGCACCTGAGGGTGGGTTTCAGGACAGGACTCCTGGCATGGGTTTTTTCTTCATGCTTTTATTAGCATGCTGACTTCCTTAGGTGTTTGGAAAGCATCACTGTTTAGTTAAAGATTGATGTTTTTATTCATTTGTTTTGAAAGAGTTCCAGAGAGAGAGCGCTCCTCTATCCACTGCTTCACTACCTAGGTTGGCCATTATGCTGAGGTTAGGAGTTTCTGGATCTTCCACCTGCGTGGCAGGGGCCCAAACACTTAGACCAGCTTCCATTGCTGGGTCAGAAGTGGAACGGCCGGGCCATGAGCCAGCACCCATCCGTCCATATGGGATGGTAGCATTGCAGGTGCTGACTTTACTCATGACACCAAAGCATCAACATGGAGACTGATGTTTTTAAAAACTGTGCTGTAAAAATAGCAATATTTGGTTTGAGAGAGGAATGATACCATAGTTCTGATTTTTTGAGAAGTCCATGCAAACTAGGAAAACCAGAAGACCACAGCTTTGGAATTCTTATTAAGCAAAATTTCTCTTCCAGATTCTGTCTCCAGCTGTTCCCTGTACCATTCTTCTTTGTCCCTGCTCTCAGTGGGTAACTTAGTTGTCTCTCTAAAAGCTGTTTGTGTTCCCACTTCTTGTGCTGGCCAACACTTGTTACATTTTCTGTCTGCAGTTACTTTCTTCCTTCCCCTGACTTTGCTGTATTCCTCTGTCCTGGTCTGTGCTGTGGCTCAGGCCAGTCTTGTATCCTTTGCTGTTGTCGTTGGTGTGGCTTCCAGCATAAGGGTTTTCACTCAGGTGCCTTTTACATTGATTCAGGAAGCAGTAGTTACTTCTGTGCATTGTTTAAAGGTTTCTTTCTTTCTTTTTTTAAACAGTTACAGAGAAAGAAGTCTTTCAGTAGGGGGTTCCCTCTCCTAGTGGCTGCAGTAGCCTGGGGCCAGGAACTGCTTCCCAATCTCCCACAAGGGTGTAGGAACCCAAACCCTTGAGCCAGCTTTCACTGCTTTCCCAAGCGTATTAGTAAGCAGGGAGCAGTGTGGTCTGGAACCAGTGCCTGTGTGCAGTGCTGCCGTGACTTGCGACTCTACAATGCCAGCCTCATTTCCCTGCACTGTGATGGCAGTCCTTTATCCAGACAGCATCACCTGTTACCCTGCGCTGCCATTGATTAACAACCTTTGCTAAAGCAGGCTGGGAGTTTGTTCAGAGCGAGGACCATGGCCTTTGTTTATTTATCACGTTTAGATGTTCGTCAGACCTTTGTCATAGGTCGCCCGTCTTGGGTAAGCAAGAGTTGCCTGGTCAGCCCGCTGTGCTTCAGTGTGTCCTGTCATAAACATGGCCTGTCTGGGGCTTTCATAGTGGTTTACGGTGCTTGACCTGTCCGGTGCTAACCTGGCCGTATTCTGCAGAAGAGATGAAGCAGTGCACGGTGGCTTGGGGCTTGCTTCAAAAGCCAAGAGAACTCCCCCTGGCCATTACCAGGGGACCACTGGCTTTGGGCCTTGCTAGAATGTTCTGTAAAAAAGAGAGTGTCATTTTTCTGTAATTTCTGTAGTGTCCTTACATCCTCACCTAGTCGCATCTGGAGTAGAGCTGCTTGCTGGAGTGTAACGTGAACAGATTCATTTTCTGCCTGCAGTGTGATGATGAGCTAGTTATTTACTGGAATGGCACAGCTGGCTATGTCTGACTAAGAAGATAATATTTATGAAAATTACAAAGAAAAATACATCCAGAGCAGAGATGAAAGATTTCTCCCAGCTGCACAAAGAATGCGTTTTGGTGTATTTAAGAGCTTTTGAAACATTAAAAAAATATACAAATTGCAGTTTTTTTTTGCAATCTGAGCCAAAACCAGAGAAGAGACTAGTCAGGTAGAAGGTGTGCAGAGTATGGCGGGGTTGAGCTCAGCTGAGCATGCGCAGGTAGGCAGAAGTGGGAGGCTGTGCTGAAGGGCCTTTGGGCCTAGGTTCTGGTGGGCTCGCCCTGCACCTGCTCTGTGATGCCTGCACACTCCGGTACCCATGCTGTCTTGAAGAGCAGGCTGGGTGATGTTCCAAGCCTTACTGCCCACGTTTCTGCTCTTTCCATTGTCCGCGATGTCTGTACTGCCTTACTCTTTACGGTATTCCAGGAGGCCCCTGTTAGGGTAGGCCCAGCTCGGGAGTGTGCTATTGCTTAGCAGTTCCTTTGTTTCTCTGTGTGTTCTCCATGTGGGGGTTCCCTTCTGGACAGTGAGATGAGTCTCTGTGATGATGGTGGTATCTTCTCCCTCGGTCTGAAAGGTCTGTAGTTACATTGAAGATGTGGGTGAGCGATGGCAGCTGCTGTCTGTACTTGCAATACTTGTAGTGTTAAACTCGTAGACGTACCAGGGGCCGGTGTTGTAGTGTCACAGACAAAGCGTGCCTGTCATGCTGGCTTCCCATACGGGCGCCGGCTCATGTCCTCGCTGCTGCTGCCTGCTGGCGGTGTGTGCTGGCCGCAGCGCTAGGGCTCCCGGCATGCACGTGGGACGTGCCGATGAAGCTCCTGGGGAGATGAGCTGGTAAATCAAAGATCTTGCTCGGGACCTCCCTCAAACAAATCCTTCCAAAAAGTAAATGAGTAGTAGTACATAACATTATATTCATTTTTAAAAAGATTTTATTTTTTTATTGGAAAGTCAAACACACAAAGAGGAGGAGAGACAGAAGAAGATCTGTCCGATGGTTCACTGCCCAAGTGACTGCAACAGCAGGTGCTGCACCGATCCGAAGCCAGGAGCCCGGAACCTCTGAGCTTCCTCCAGGTCTCCCACGCGGGTGCAGGGTCCCAAGGCTTTGGGCTGTCCTCCACTGCTTTCCCAGGCCACAAGTAGGGAGCTGGATGGGAAGTGGAGCTGCCCGGATTAGAACCGGCGCCCATATGGGATCCTGGCACATGCAAGGCGAGGACTTTAGCCATTAGGCTACCGTGCTGGGCTCACATTATGTTCATTTTCTCTGGTAAATATTAAATCAGTATGCAACCTATTAAAAATAAAATGAAGAATGAAGAGGTTAAGTGGATTGATGTTTGTAGGTGTGCCGTTGTAATGCTTGCAGTGGCTTTTAATGGGGAGTTCAGAAGTAAAAGTGTGCTGATCCTGCTGTTGCTGCTTGTCAGTTGAAAAATATGGTATGCTTGGTAATAAGTCAGGAGCTGAAAAAGTTCATCTCTGGCTAAGCTGGTGAAAAGGAAATACAGGATCTGTTAGGGTGTTGGCGAGTTGCTCGTGTAAACAGTGGTCCAGGTGTTTGCATTGCAGTGCCACACGCCTGTCTGGCTAAACACTGCCAGCTGTTGACCTTGTCACCTGCCACCTGGGCGACTGGCCCGCACGCCGTCGTGCTGGCGGTCTTGTTTTGCCGTCTGTGAAGGGGAGTGACAGTACTCTGGACCACAGGCCTGAGAGTCGCATGGAATCTTGTAAACTCGGTGCTGATGAGTCAGGATGATTTTCCTTGTTGTTGTCTTGTTCACTTGGTGTTTAATATTGGCCTAGTAATGTTACTGTGTTTCACTTTGTTGCCTTCAGACTGATGATCTTCCTCTGGAATTCTGTTTTCAGTTTTAGTAAAACAAAAGGAACACATTCACATTTTACAGGCTTGCTTTAATTCGAGTTTTGTAGAGTTTAGTTGCAAATGTAAAAATTCTGTCAAGACCATAATGACTAGTTCTTCATAATGTGGGCTATAAACAGGATGAAAAAAGTTCCTAATAATAAATATTAATGAAAGATACAAATTGCAACAGAAACTAAATACAGTTTTTTCTGTCACATTCATTTCTTCAACTGTACCTATATAGAGATCAGAGTTACAGGGGCACAGGTGCACACAGATTCACACTGGGAATACGAAATGAGTCAGTCAGTTGGGAAATGTTTTGTAGGACCCATACTGCCAATTTGTGTGTTGTTTTGACGTAGTAGTTCACCTCTAGGAGATATAGCCTAAGGTAGTAATCCATTAGATTTTTTTGAAAAGTCTGTTTTAGAATAAGTGGTAGTGTATATTAAAGAATTCCTATTCAAGCAATATAAGAGAACATAAATAATACTGAATAAAAAACAAAATTGTGCATTTGCCATTGCTCTAGTTAGGTAAAAATATAGGAAACAGTGTGTTACGTAAGTTGAATTAAGAGAAAATACTCAGTTTAGAACAGCTGCCTTTTTACTTTTGAAAGCGTGCATGTAGACAATTGATGAACGTGGAATTAAATAGTTAGTGGTATAGAAATTTGTTTCCTTTTATGTAAGTGGCAAAAATTTCTAAAGGAAGAAGTTATTTAGATTATTTTTATTGGCATATAGTGATATTTCAAAAAATTTATGAAAAAATGGAGTGAATAATGTTTATTTTGGTGCAGATATTTTTTAAATCCAGTCTTAGTTTTATGTACTTATTTAAGATTTATTTATTTAAAGGGCAGTGCAATACAGAGGCAGAATTTTCCCTCTGCTGGTTCACTCCTCAAATGGCTGGAAGAGCCAAGTTTAAGATAGGTCCTAACTGACAGCCAGGAACTCAGTCAGGGTGTCCTGCATGGGTAGGAGAGAGCTCTGGGGCCGTCGTCCGTGGCTCTCCCAGGCACGTCATCCGGCTCTGGGGCCGTCCATGGCTCTCCCGGGCACATCGCCCGGCTCTGGGGCCGTTTATGGGGCTTTCCCAGGCACATCGCCCGGCTCTGGGGCCGTCCATGGCTCTCTTGGGCATGTCGCCTGGCTCTGGGGCCATCTATGGGGCTCTCCCAGGCATGTCACCCAGCTCTGGGGCCGTCTATGGGGCTCTCCCAGGCACGTCACCCAGCTCTGGGGCTGTCTATGGGGCTCTCCCAGGCACGTCACCCAGCTCTGGGGCCATCTCTGGCTCTCCCAGGCATGTCACCCAGCTCTGGGGCCATCCATGGCTCTCCCAGGCGTATTAGCAAAGGGCTAGATTGGAAGTGGAAGAACTGATCTTCAAGCAGGTAGTCCGGTTAAGATGCCAGCTTAGCAGGTGGCGTTTTAACCCCCTGCAACCCTGCACTGTCACAGCAGTTTTTTGGTAATACACTTTTTTCTGTTAATTTTTTTTCAAAAACATCACATATCGTAAAACTATTTCAATGTTAGTGTGTTAAAAATGTATTTGAAATATCACTTGATATTCAATAAATGTATGTAATTTTTATGTCTGTTACAACATTTTTGGATAAAAGGATTATATATAAAGTAAATGGAAATTTGATAGTAATCTTCATAGCTGCCTCTGACAGCTTAGAGTGGGGTCACATTAAGATTAATGTAACATGAGGTTTATGTTAGTATACTGTGATGTTTACGTCTGAAAAGAGGTAGAACATAAAAAGCGCTTTGAGAGAACAGCCAAGCTTTTACGGGTAGGACTGTTGGTTTTTAATGTAACTTCTTTTTATTTTAGAGTTGATAGATGTCACATGTACCCTGCTGCTTCTAAACCCAGACTTTACCACTGCATGGAACGTGAGGTATGTCATTGTTATCAGTGGTAAGAGCAAGTTTTTCCAAATAGCCGAAGACGCAGAGCCTCCTGAGTTCTTAGCTCTTGGAAAACTGCGTTATAAAGCATTTACTCGTAGCATTTAACACTTGCTTTCTCTGCATATTGTTTATATCTCCATGACAGTTTTAATACACTTTGCCCCATTTTGCATGTTTGCTTGTTCTTTGTAAACTTTCTTGACGAGAACTGAATTGTCGTGTTGTCACACTCTACTGCTGGTGCATGCTTCTTTTCCTTCTTGGGGGACGAGCACAGATAGTCATCCTGACTGGCTGGACTGTAAGATTTCCGTTAGAATATTGGAGAAACTCTGCATTGTATTAACAAGTGACTGGTGCAAAGTAGGCTGCCCTGGCTTCTCCCTCCCAAGCAAGTGAGAAGCTGGAGTTGCCATTTAATGAAATGAGATATCTAGAAAAGGCCAGATTGATTTGAGGCTCATTGGTTGGTGGCCAGGAGTTCAATTTGGGACAAATTCAGTTTGTGGCCCTGTGGTTGTACATGAATCTAAAGTTCAGAGACCAGATAGGGGCTAGACATGGATTTGGGGGTCAGTACCTACAGATGCCGTGACAGCATTCGAGACCACAGAGGAATAGTTGCCTTTAGAGAAGTGAACCAGTGCAAAGACCCAGCCTGTACACTCCAGCGTTGCCTGGGTCGGGGCTGTGGCTGCTGGCCCTGCGTGGCTGTTAAACTCTTGCAGCATGAACAGTTTCAGTTGAGAAACACTCCAAGTGTAAACTAGATATCACTCCCTTAAACTAAAATGTTAAACCGGAAGTTGCTTACCTTGCTGAGTTGTATTTCTGTTGGGCAGCATTACTGTAGCATTGGCAAGATCAGAAAGAATCAGCAGAGGAGACTCGGGGTGCCACTTTTAGTTGGGTGCTTTCCTAAGGGCAGACTGAGTCTCTGCCCTGTTTTGTTTTGTTTCCCTGGTGTCGAACTGTAATGTTTACATACTGGGAACTGAAGATAAATTGAGTGTAAAAGGAATGAAGTTAATAGGTACATGGGAATGCCATATTTTTTCCTGTTTTAACGTTGCTCATCATTAGAAATTGAAAATTCATCATTGTGAAATTCTTTTTTCATAAGATGTATTTAGTTTACTTGAAAGAATAACATGGAAAGAGATAGACAGTCAGAGATCGTCCATTCACTTGTTCACTCTCCAAAGAACTGCAACAGCCAGAGTTCAAAGCCAGCAGTGTAGAGTCTCCCCCAGGTCTCCCACATGGGCACAGGGACCAAGCGCTGGGTCCATGCCCTGCTGCTTTCCCAGGCCATAAGCGGAGAGCTGCATGGGAAGCGGAGCAGCCGGGGCATGACGTGGAACAACGGGCCATTGGGAATACTGATGCCTGCAGGTTGGGGAATTAGCCTGTTATGCCACAGCACCAGCCCCCAGTGTGAAATTCTTATTAGCGTAATATGTATGTACATGTAATATGTACATACACGTAATACGCACATACATGTAATATGCTTACATATGGATACACACGCACGTGCATACATTATGCATTCGTAAATTTGAAACTCATTTTTGAAATTATGTGTTTGTTTGAATGATGTTTATAGAAATTAGTCTTAAAATGATTTTAGTAAGTTGATTAGCGACGTTTTGAGGGACTTTTGGTGTTGGTGAATCTGCCTGTACTGCATTGGCCTGTGGAGACAGAGTCCGGGCTCATTGGGAGCGTGAAGCGGCTGTTCCAGGTGCATGTCTGAAGCCTTGTGACGTCTCGTGCGAACCATGGATGTATGGTAATTGATTTCAGCTGATTGATTTTGCTAATTGCTAACAGGTAGTGATGACACACCAGGCACCAGTGGTGGATGACCTGTGTCCCCCAGGCTCCAGTGATGTATGCTCAGTGCCCCCAGGTTCCAGTGGTGGCTGCTCTGTGCTCTGCTCCCCCAGGTGCCAGTGAAGGGTGCTCTCCACCCAAACCCTATTTCCTTCAGTTTTATTTAGTTTTGACATTTGGTCTGACAGTTTGAGCTAAAAAACCTTGACCAAGTTACCAGATCTCGTGACTGAGTTTGCTTATCTGTAAAATGCAGTTGAACTCTATGAAGTTGATCTTATAAATCCTATTGCCCAGATCTTATTTTCTCCTACTATCCTCTAGGAGGTCAAACTTGGCTCTTTGGAGAAATGGCTGGTGATGAGGTCAGGGCTTAGATTGTTGCTGTAGGGCAGGCCCAAGCTGAGAGCATCCTGTAGAGGCAAAGGTGATAGTGATGAGAGCAAACGTGTGGAGCAGCATCAGAGGGACACCAGGGACCCAGTGGAGGAGAGTCAGAGGGATACCAGGGACCCAGTGGAGGAGAGTCAGAGGGACACGAGGGACCCAGTGGAGGAGCGTCAGAGGGATACCAGGGACCCAGTGGAGGAGCGTCAGAGGGACACGAGGGACCCAGTGGAGGAGCGTCAGAGGGACACGAGGGACCCAGTGGAGGAGCGTCAGAGGGACACCAAGGACGCAGTGGAGGAGCGTCAGAGGGACACGAGGGACCCAGTGGAGGAGCATCAGAGGGACACGAGGGACCCAGTGGAGGAGCGTCAGAGGGACACCAGGGACGCAGTGGAGGAGCGTCAGAGGGACACGAGGGACCCAGTGGAGGAGCCTGTGGAGGAGCGTCAGAGGGACACCAGGGACGCAGTGGAGGAACGTCAGAGGGACACGAGGGACGCAGTGGAGGAGCGTCAGAGGGACACGAGGGACCCAGTGGAGGAGCATCAGAGGGACACGAGGGACCCAGTGGAGGAGCGTCAGAGGGACATGAGGGACACAGTGGAGGAGCATCAGAGGGACACCAGGGACCCAGTGGAGGAGCCAGTGGAGGAGCGTCAGAGGGACACCAGGGACCCAGTGGAGGAACGTCAGAGGGACACGAGGGACCCAGTGGAGGAGCGTCAGGGACACGAGGGACCCAGTGGAGGAGCATCAGAGGGACACGAGGGACCCAGTGGAGGAGCGTCAGGGACACGAGGGACGCAGTGGAGGAGCGTCAGAGGGACACGAGGGACCCAGTGGAGGAGCATCAGAGGGACACGAGGGACCCAGTGGAGGAGCGTCAGGGACACGAGGGACCCAGTGGAGGAGCATCAGAGGGACACCAGGGACCCAGTGGAGGAGCCAGTGGAGGAGCGTCAGAGGGACACGAGGGACCCAGTGGAGGAGCCAGTGGAGGAGCGTCAGAGGGACACCAGGGACCCAGTGGAGGAGCGTCAGAGGGACACGAGGGACCCAGTGGAGGAGCCAGTGGAGGAGCGTCAGAGGGACACGAGGGACCCAGTGGAGGAGCGTCAGAGGGACACCAGGGACCCAGTGGAGGAGCGTCAGAGGGACATGAGGGACCCAGTGGAGGAGCGTCAGAGGGACACGAGGGACCCAGTGGAGGAGCGTCAGAGGGACACCAGGGACCCAGTGGAGGAACGTCAGAGGGACACGAGGGACCCAGTGGAGGAGCATCAGAGGGACACCAGGGACCCAGTGGAGGAACCTGTGGAGGAGCATCAGAGGGACACCAGGGACCCAGTGGAGGAGCCAGTGGAGGAGCGTCAGAGGGACACGAGGGACCCAGTGGAGGAGCGTCAGAGGGACACGAGGGACCCAGTGGAGGAACGTCAGAGGGACACGAGGGACCCAGTGGAGGAGCCAGTGGAGGAGCGTCAGAGGGACACCAGGGACCCAGTGGAGGACCCAGTGGAGGAGCGTCAGAGGGACACGAGGGACCCAGTGGAGGAGCCAGTGGAGGAGCGTCAGAGGGACACCAGGGACCCAGTGGAGGAGCCAGTGGAGGAGCGTCAGAGGGACACCAGGGACCCAGTGGAGGAACCTGAGTGCCTATTGCTGGGATGATTCGAGCAACAGAATAAATCCAGTACTACCCCATCCTCTCTTGAGAAGTGCTGTAATAACCCCAGTGGATGCTTCAAGTCTAATAGTACTGAACCCTGTAAATACTGGTTTTTTTCTTACTAAATGAGTAATGGTGTCAAATACAGTATAGAAATGCTGGACTAAAAGATGAGACAGAACACAGTGGTACAGGTTAAAAACTAAATTGTTTATTTCTGGGATTTTCTATGTCATGTTTTTGGGTCTTGGTAAGCTTTACATTATGGAAACCACAGAAGGTCAGACTGGGTAAGAGGGGACTAGTGTCCCACAGGACCGTACCACAAGGTGTAAATTGGGCATGTATAAGTAGATACTGGCGGGAATAAGTGAGACTGAGCTAACCTCGTCACGAAGGGGGAGCCTACCTTGCTGCTGCTTCCATGCGGGTCTTCTGCACGCCGTGCCTCAGCCTGGTCGTGCGGGTCTGTGACAGTGCTGAAGGGACGCTCTGCCTTACTGCCAAAGCGCGAGCAGAGCAGCATCCGGGTGCCCTCCCCGTTCACTGCTTCCTCTCAGCCGCCATCAGGAGAGTACTAGCTGCATGACTGAAACATCCCCTCCTGAACACGGGGCTGAGGGCACTGCTTCTGGAAGGGCTGTCCAAGGTTAAGAACTCCGGAATTGGCCTGCTGGAGAGCTGTTGGATTTGGAGTTCCACCTGTGGTTGACTTGGAAGGACCACACAGATGACTTCATGGGCCTTTGGTGTTTGCCAGAGTCCCCGCCCTTGTTAGAAGAAGGCAGTGCTGGCTGACACAGTGTCGTCCCACCAAGTGCCGCAGCACTGTGTGTCAGTCCCCACCGCCTCCTGCAGTGACGCCTGCTCCTGGCCTAGTTTCCCCACATTGGATGACCCTTTGGTGAGGCCCTTTCCCCTCCTTCCGTTAGCAGGGTGCCACTCCATAAGGCTCAAGTGTGAAAGGGAGACTTTTGCTTATTTTAAGTATTTTCTTGGGAAAAAAAAATCCAAGAAAATACTCTTTAGGCTCATACCAGTGTATAAGTGTTCAAGGGCCGTACATGAAATATGTATGTGCCTTCTTGAGATGCTTATGTCAGTTTGGCTATACTTGTTTAAATCAACATTATGTGAAGTATTGTATTATGAGTTCTTCCTTTTCTTGCTCAGATTTTATCAGTGTTATTTAAACTCCTTGCACGCCCTGTTGAGCTCCTGTGTCGTAAGAGCATTCGCTTGCTTCTTTTCTTTCTGATTCGCTGCTGCTCATGTCCAGAGCCCAGCTTGTCTGTCCGGACTTTTAGCCCGCCAGTGCTTTCTGACTTGACGTGTGATGGAAATTTTCTCAAACCAAATTCCTGCGTGCACCTATGGATTTCATTTTTTTCTAACTTACTTTTGGGTAGTATAGTTGCCGTAACTTAGCCATTTAACTTTTTTTTTTTTTTTTTTAAGATTTACTTCATTTTTATTAGGTAGAATTAGAAGAAATAAAAGAGAGATTTTCATTTGGTGGTTCACTCCCCAAATGGCCATAGTTGCTGTAGATGAGCTGGTCTAAAGCCAAGGGCCAGAGGCATCTTAAGGGTCTCTTAAGTAGATGCAGGGGCCCAAGGACTTGAGCCAAACTCTGCTGCTGCCCAGGCCATGAACAGGGAGCTGGATTGCAGTGGAGCAGCCAGGACAGGAGTAGGCGCTCTTGGGGGATGCCTGCACCATGGGCAGAGGTTTAGCTTGCCACATCATTGTCCTGGCCCCTCGAGTTTGTTCGTTTTTTTTTTAAGATTTATTTTTATTGAAAAGTCAGATATACAGAGAGGAGGAGAGACAGAGAGGAAGATCTTCCCATCCAGTGATTCACTCCCCAAGTGAGCGCAACAGCCAGAGCTGAGTCAGTCTGAAGCCACTAAGCCACCGTACCAGGCCGTGTATAGGTTGATCCTGAGCAGTTTTAAAAACAAGATCTTTGCATTTCTGTTGCTTTTGCTGCTTGCTTACAGAAGACATGTCTCATGTGTGAAGGGTTCTGCTTGTATTTTACTTGTTTGTGCCTGTCTTGAAAACTTATCCTACATAATAACACAGAAGAAAGAATTCATAGGCACAAATTCTTTTTATATCCACAATTCTTCTAGAATAGCAAGTATTGTAAACAACCTAAATATATGCCAATATAAGAAAAAGTTATTATAGCATAGTCACTGAATGAAAATTGTTTGATAATTCAAAATGTTCATTACAATAGAAAGCTTCTTAAAATACAATGAAAGCAGCCTGTGAAATTATACATTAAAATATTTGCACATGGGGAAAGATGGAAGGGATGGTTGAAAATTAAAAACTTGTAGTTCTGTTTAGGGAAGCGATTCCACAAGTGACTCCCCACTTCCATCCCAGGTGCTTTGTTCCGGGTCGGTGTGGGGTGTTTTGGAGCAGAGCGGACCCTGCCTGGGGAGGCAGTGCCGTTGACCTGGCGTTAGAACACACCACAGACAGTGCCGTCATGTCAGCAGCTCTCCGAAATGAAATAGGCCAAAACTAAGGTGCTTCTGCTGGTAGAAGAGCTTCCCCTTGTTCTTGGTAGTTTGCGATTCTGAGAATGCATTCTTGGTTATTCTGATGTGGCCATTGGTTTTGTTATTGTTAATTTGTGATCATCAATTTATAATGAAGTTATGTTAAAAGCGTAGAATGTTTGGCTAAAAGAGCTAAACACTTTTATTTTTCTGAGTTTTTGTTTCTTTCTTTTGCAGGAAAGAGCTGATCCTCTCGGGCACTTTAAATCCAATTAAGGATTTATATCTGGGAAAATTGGCCTTAACGAAATTTCCAAAGAGTCCAGAAACGTGGATTCACAGGTGGGGTTAATTTATAGTGTAACAGTTATTGATGTTGTTATTTTGCTGTTTCTAAAGCAGAAGAGAGAGGGCAGCAGGCAGGGCTGGGCTGGACACAAGCCTGCAACTTTGTGTGTGCTGACCCATGCACACACGCAGAGGCCCAAGGACTCGGGACCCTTCCATTGCTTTCCTGAGTGCATTAGCAGGGAGCTAGGAGGGAAGTAAAGCAGCAGAAGTAAGATTGATGCCCGTATGAGATGCTGATCTTGGCAGCTTAACGTGCTGTGCCACAGCATTGGCCCCATCTACCAGTCTTTCTTAAAATTTCAGATGATTGAAGAAAAAAGTGCAGTCTGTGGGCCAGGGCATGGATTCTGTTGTCAGGTTACCAGAACTTAAAGCTAAGTTCATCCCTTGCCACATTGGGAATTATTTAGCTTGTTAGGTCCTTTTTGTTCATTTGTAAAAGGAGATAATTACACCTGTTTTATAGAGTAGTGTTTGCGTATACATGAGATAATACATGTGAACTCTACCGAGTACCTGGCACATAATAAATAGTAAATATTAGTTATTACCATTTAGTATCTGAAGTGGTTTGAAGATTGTATTTATACTCAGTTATAATGAGCACCTTGAGTTTCTCAAGGTTTCTGGTTGTGTTCCTTGTGAAGACGGTAGTGGTAATGGTTGTGGTTAGTGAAGTTAATTTACAGAGAAAGGTAAGGCTGACATGAGCGTAGTGTAAGCTGAGCTGAAGTTGCTAAGAATATATATGCAAAGAAGGATTTTAGATTGCAAGCCTGAAGCAAGGAGCAAGCCAGGGCACATAAGAACTGAGTCCTGGCTGTGGGTCTCGCCTGGCTCCTGCTGCCCCACTGACATAGAATAATGTGGCTCGCTGGCCAGCATGAATACACAAGTTCCTTCCAAGAGTCTAATGTCAGTTTCCAGCGTTGTCCTTACCTGGCTTAAATTGGGGGCCCTTCAGGTGTCCTGCTTGTTCCCGTGCCTTTGGCTAGGGTTGCACATCAGCTCCTTTGGTTCTGCTTTGTTTCTTCCTAGAAGGAAACCTGGATAGTGAAGCTCAGAGAGCTATGTGATTCTATGGAAGGGGGCTTAGAAAGGGGCCATGGCCGGTAAAAGGCACTGCTAGATTTACATTCATTAGTTTATTGGCTTGCCTGGAGAGACAGAGAGTGTGTGTGTTTAAGGTTTCTTTTTTATGTGAAAGGTAGAGGTAGAGAAATCTCCCGTCACTGGTTCTTTTCCAAATGGCCACCATGGTCAGAGCTGGACCAAGCCAGAGCCAGGAGTTAATCATTCCTAGTCGTATTTGTTTCCTTCCAGATACTTTGCTGTAACATAGAAATTTTGCTTAATGAATGCTGTCAGTATGTAGCTTCTTTGCAAACAAATAAGCACAGAGGGAAGCATGGGTGTGTAATGAAAGATGGGAACCAGCGATGCCTGTTGTAATACTACTGATCTTAAGAACGGTGTCACCAACTCCCTTCCCATTTCCTGGCCAAGTGGAGTTTAAAGTTAGCATTTTGGAACTGATCTTACCTTAACACATTTTAAAATTTTAGAGAGCATTTTCCTATTTGCTTATCTCTCCCCTACCTGAGTCATCTATGCTGCCAAACTTAATTATCTCCCCACCAAACAACAAAATCACTATCCCTCCTGGTCTCCAAGAAGAATTATCCCCCCAACAACAAAATCACTATCCCTCCTGGTCTCCAAGAACAGGCTTGTTGGCAACTATTATTTTGCTTCTTCTGTGAGTGGAAATTAAATTATTAAAAAAGAAATTTTGTGATTTGTCTTCTTTGTTCTCGTTCCCATGTGGTATTATGACAGGCGGTGGGTGCTACAACAGCTAATTCAGCAAACTTCCTGGCCTTCCTATGTGACCAAAGGAGTTTTGGGAACAATTCCTGCAGAACGGACAAGGCAGCTAATACAGGAAGAGATGGAAGTGTGTGGGGAAGCAGCGGGGAGATACCCTAGCAACTATAACGCATGGTCCCATCGCATCTGGGTTCTGCAAAAGCTGGCTAGGCTGGACATCCAGGTAAGCTGTCACTGTCGGCTGCTGGGGCAGCATGTCTGTGTGTCCTGGCAGTGGCTCATCTTCTAACAGCTTTAATAAAGCAGAGGAATTGATAGCCTGGAGGCCAAGAATTTTAAGACAGCTGAAAACTTCCAGAGAAATCTTGACAATGAAAAAAGAAGTTTGCATTTCCTGTCAGTGTAGTTGTTGGCCACCTTAGGTCTCATACCTTAGTGAAAAAAAGGCGGGTTGAACTAGTTAAAGAAGACTGAATACTAACTTGTTTTCTTCCCAAACAGGAAATGAGACATTTACTAAACCTTATAGAGTTGGAATGCTTTTTTTGGCAGTCTTTGGCTATGGGCCTTAATGTACTAAATCAGCTCGCTATCTTTTCGCAGTTTCCACTTCTGCGAAGAAGAAGGAAGAAAGCAGAAATATCTTAAGCAGGTGTTAACAAAGCTTGGTGATACATAGGGGTTCCCAAATCCCATTCACGTCCCCCAGACTGGAATGAGGATGGAACCTAAGTACAGTGCTTGATGGCCACACGTCTTAGTGATATAATGGAGTATTCTCTCTCTTGTATTAGGTGCTTCTTTTCATTCAACTGTTTTTTGATTCATTTGATATTTATTTAAATATTTATTAGATATTGATTCATTAGGTATTCATTAGTGGTCGTAGGGGGATAGAAACACCAATTAGAAATTAGTAATTTGGAGAATTGGTTGAGAAACTGGAAGCAGTTGACAGTGTTTCATGGGAATGAAGAAACACACAGAAATTCCCTAGTACGTACAGTAGAATACATGAGTTCCTTGGCTGACTCAGGCAGGGTTTCTTCTAGGGAAGAAAGGATTTGGAGAAGTGGGGAGACATTGTGGAGCACCCTCGCAGCCAGCGGGGTGGGGGTGAGACACGTGGAGGACCCTCGCAGCCAGCGGGGTGGGGGTGAGACACGTGGAGGACCCTCGCAGCCAGCGGGGGGAGTGGAGGACCCTCACAGCCAGCGGGGGGAGGAGACACTGTGGAGGACCCTCACAGCCAGCGGAGGCGGGGAGACACCGTGGAGGACCCTCACAGCCAGCGAGCATCCATGCTCCTCTCTCTCTAATCCACTGCTTCCCTCGGTTTCCCTTGGTTTTTTTTTTCTTTAGCTGCTCTGAAATCCTCGGACGGAATGTCGTAGGCCCTCAGTCTACCTTTTACTGAATCAAAGCCCATTTTTCCCATTTCTTTTATCATTTCATTTGAAGTTCTATAGTTTGCAAGACTGTTAGTACAAAGATTTCAACAATTTACTGCTAAATTTTCATTTGTTTTTTGCCTCATTTATGATTAGTGTTAAAAGTGAACATGAGACTAATAAGTGAAAGTCATAAGATCTTTAAAGTTCTGTCATTTATGCAACAAGTTTTTGTGTTAAACTCTTAAATTCATCGGTGAAAGAAAGTTTTTGCCCTCATGACTTTTACAGAGAAAGAACAGAAAATTACATTGAATCTTGTTGAACAGATGTAGCACATGTTCACCCTAATTGAATGTCTAGTGTGTATTCATTAGGTATATAAAACTTTATATCAAAATAACCCCTGAGTTTGTTTTCCCTTTTACGTATTGTTACTGATAAAGGAATACCCTAAGGTTTACCATTATTTTAGAAGTTGGCAAATAAGAATGTCAGGATCCAAAGAAAGAACTTAAATATCTGTAACTATCAAACCAAAAAAAAAAAAAAATCCAAAAACAAAAAATACTACCACTTTGTAAGGAAAAACTAGCAGATGTTAAACTTGCATTAAGACAAAGTACTGTATGTTGAACATTGCATACAAGATGGTAGTGTGACCAGTATTGTCAGAAAACGTGGAGTGAGCCCAGTGTAAATTGGAGGCGTTGGTGGACAGGAAGCCTTTGGGAATTCATCTCACTCGCCCTCTCTTTGTTTCCTCCCACAAGATTCTTCTTGGTGAACTATCTTCTACTAAACGTTGGGCATCTATGCACGTTTCAGACCACAGTGGATTTCACTACCGCCAGTTTCTGTTAAAGTCTTTGATTAGCCAAGCTGTTGTGGACAGTTCTACCGTGGAGCAAAACTCTTTGAGAAGTGAGCCAGCCCCCGTTCTTCCTAACGATGAAGCAGCAGCGGCTTCAGCAGCAGAACCAAGCATAAGTCCTCCCCATCTTCTAGAAGAAGAAGTTGAATTCACCACTGATCTTATTGACTCTTATCCAGGACATGAAACTCTGTGGTGTCATAGGTAAGGCAACGGGACGTCTGCTTCCAGCATGCTGGCAGCGGATTGTGATAGCTGCAGAGGGGATTCCTGCAGACTCCGCCTTCCGGGCATAGGTGGTCAACCAGTGGGTTACCTGCAGCCCTCCGCCAGCTCTCCCTGGGTGGAGAGTCTAAGTGAGCCACCCTCCCATCTTCCCAGGGTGAGTGATGCAGGAATCAGGAGCCAGGCCTGAGCTACCAGGTCAGTCATAGGTGTTGTATCTAATATTTTAACTAGGAAGCGAGACACCTCTCCTTATTTTTACCAGATGGAATCGAATAATTCTGAGGGCAGGAGAACTGCTTTCCTGAGAGGAAGAAAAGGAACTGAGTAAACTGTGGCTTTACTCAGAGAGGCCAGCATTTCCCCCACTAATAGGGAGGGCTAAGACTGTAGCAATGGGTGTATCAGAAAGTTGAGCTGACTTCTAGATATTAAGACCAAGTGCAGCAGCTGGGTTACTTTTACTAAAGAAAGGATCAGAAGGTGTCAGGGACCTGGCCCAGTGGCTCAGTGGCTAAATCTGCTCTGAATGTGCCCAGTTCCCATATGGGCACTGGTTCATGTCCTGGCTCCCTGCTTGCGGCCTGGAAAGCAGTAGAGGATGGCCCAGAGCCTTGGGACCCTGCACCTGTGGAAGACCTGACACAAGCTCCTGGCTCCTGGCTTCTGGTTTTGAATTGGTTCAGCTCTGGCCATTGCAGCCCCATGGGGTATGAACCAACAGATGGAAGATCTTTCTCTCTTTCTCTGTGTAAATCTGCCTTTCCAATAAAACTAAATCTTAAAGAAAAAAAGGGGGGGAGGTCTTGGAGGGAATTGTTTCTGAATTGCCTTCTGACGAATGAAGTTCATTTTTGGTTTTATTGGTATGGTCACACAGCAGATGCTGGGCTAAGAGCCACCTTGAGTTCTGATTTCAGGCACCACCAGCTCGTCCCGCTCAGGGACTGCTTGTTGCAGTACCTTCTGGACGATGCTGTCACCAGCCCAGGTAGTCGGGATTGAAGGCTTGGCCCAAATTCTCAGACTTGGTCTCAATTGTCTCTCCCGCTTCCATCGCGTAACTGGGGTCTGCAGAGTCTCACCAGGTTTGTTTTTCCTGGAAACGTTTGGCTTTGTGAAATGATTTTCTTTATTTTCTTGCTCATCCACTTCCCTCGCAGACGGCATGTGTTCTACCTTCAGCATCATTTGAACAGCAGGTTTCGTCACCACGGGACCCCACTGCCCTCTGCAGACAACTCTGGGAGGACCTCGAGTGCCTTGCACCTCATCGCAGCAGGCCCCCCGACTTCTCAGACAATGGACGTGGATGGACTGAATGACCCCAGCAAGCAAGGCTACTCCCAGGAAACCAAGCGCTTGAAGCGGACCCCAATCTCAGACTCCCTAGGTCTAGAAATGGAACACAGATTCATTGATCAAGTGTTGTCCACTTGCCGGAACGTAGAGCAAGCCAAGTATGCCAACGCATACAGGAAATGGCTGGTTACTTTGAGTCAGTGAACAATGTGGAACGATCCTTCAGAATTCCCTTCTTAGTGCAATATCGCTTCCCTTTCTGATTTACGTGCTTGCATGAGCTGTCTGCTGTTGTAGGCTGACGATTCTTCATCTCTAAGCTGAAAGTAAATGCTTCGTTTTATTTATTTTGCTCAGAACTGGTATTCCTTTGGGGATAAAATAATTGTATCATTTCTTCCTGCTAACGATGAGTTTTAAAGTTGTAATTTCTACTTGTCTTCCTTTCTCTTGCTGTCCATGGAGCTTTTTACTTGGTTCCTCTAATTGGTTCAACTCACACATCCACCCGTTTCAGTGTCGCTTCCACACACGCAGATCTTTAACAATAATTAAAAATATTTGTTACAGTTTAGCTAAAGAACATTAATACAAATGCAGAGTAATTTGATCTAGTTGTTATTTTGAGACTCAAGCTGGATGGATGGATATGTGAAATTAGAAACCAATGCTCTTTCTCCAGTATGTTCTGCTCAAGGTGTAGACTAAGATGACCAAAGTCAGAAGTATTAGAATTTATATGAAAATATGATTCCATGCAATATCCATTTTAAAAATGGTTATTTAAAAAAAAAACTAATTTAAGAGCTTGTGTAATTGCAGTACTAGAAGATCATTTTTAGTCCTAGTTTTGATAGCTTGCTTTTACCTCATGTTTGGTATATGCCAAAACACTCAGCAGCATTTATAACGTTATTTTTCCTAAAAACCTAGAATGCCATTTTTACTTATTAGGTTAATTAAAACATTTTTCTTAGTCAATTTACTCATGAAAATTGGGACAAATGAACACAAAAAGATATTTATTTAAAAAATCTTCCTTTAAAACATGTAAGTTCCTTAGGATTACACTGGATGAGTTTAAAGCTTGTGTGATGTGACTGTTAAAAGGTTGCTAGGAAAGAACTTTGCAGCTTAGTTCTTCCACCTTTATTTTAAAAATGTAGCAAAAACACTTTGATACTGCACTAATCAGGGATGAGGTACCAAAGCATCCATGTTAATAATTGTATCTGATCTTTTCCTACCAAGGGCTGCTTATCAGGTCAGTGAAACAGGACTGGGGAAGGGCCAGGTAATGTCTGCTTTCTTGTTGTCCCTTTGTAAATGATCTTCTATTTTACCTATTTTACCAACTCATTCCAGATTTTTTTTTCACTTAGTTCGTGCATGTTTTCCTTGTCTGTCTGATTTCAAAGATTCCCATAGGAAGTAATCTCCTCCCTTATTTTTAGTGATTCCCAGAACATGGGAATCTGCCCCTCCAAGAGCTCCCCAAGTGTGGAAGCTTTCTGTTGTCAGAGGTGTTCTCTATCCTGCCCCCTGTAGGCAGAAGTTGTTTTCTCCTGGGACACAATTACTCTTGTATTTTTTGTTTTGTTTTATTACTCTTTTTTGGCATTTATAGTACCTAGCTGAGAACAGACTTGCCAGTATAATAATAATTCCATGGTCCTTTATATACAAGGTGTATTTTGAATCGCATACCTCAAGGTCTGTGTAGACCTCTGACTAAAACCATTAGATGTTTTCTGTCCAGCTCTTGTGAGGACTAGGGGAGGGAGCAGCACGCGGAAGATGGGGCTTTCAGCCCATCCCACGCATACAGGGTCTGGCCTCAGTATTGCCTGTGTTCTAAGCATCACTTTTGGTATTCCGGATCCCAGGTCCTCTTGCGCTTCGATGTGAAAGAAGGACTCCCGTGTAGGCAGTGTCCAGTGAAAGGTTAGCTGAGTTTCTGTAGTTCTCCAAGAGCTCTTTCCCTTCCACTCAGCGTGCTGCCCGCCGTACCTGGCTGAGGCTCCTAACCTGCTCCTTTCTAAAGCCATACAGTCCTTCACATATTGTAATTCTCTTGTCTTCCTAAGAAACTTTGAGGTAGGGAGTAACAATACAGATATCCAAGGGATACTGTTAGTACTTGACTGGTATATGCTACTTTGTTTCTCAGATTTGTGTTTGCAACTGTTCATTCACAGAGGAAGTTAGAATTTCCCTTTCTGGTTATATTTTCTTCCTAAATAGTTGATATTTAAGCTGTCTCTTCAAAATGCATGTAGTATCACTTGACATGTCTGTTTTCAGTGGTGTGTTAGTCTTATTTTCCTGTAGATTTCTAACTGTTAAAAGGAGAAATTGGTTTAGATTGGCAGGCGTTTCATCTGCTTTTCCCTGGAAGAATAGCATCACTGTGGCTCGAGATGACTAGTAAGATCTCACCACTGCCTCTCCCCAGTGTTTGTTAGTTACCTGACTGAGTGAGGAGTGTTTCCAGACTCTCATGTAAGCCGTGGACATTGTGAGGATTCATTAAATGTTTATTAAATTAGTGGATGATAAACTGGATGAATGGAATGATTATTGAGAGGTTGATGTGTTGATGCAGTGTGAAGGAGTCTGATGCTCTCCAGCCTGAGCTGGGCCAGCGGGTGCTGTGGGTTGACTCTCCTTTGCTCCATTGCCTTGTGTGCGTGTGTTAAGTCCTAGGCGAGGCTAGGACTGTCGCTGTCAGTGGTAGCGGCACACACGCACATTAAGAATACTCCTTTTTCTTCATGTAATGGGTTGGAGAAACGATACAGACCCAGAGGCACTTGGGGCATCTGAGAAAATTCTTCAATTTTATGTGACTTGTTGATTCTTATTTATGCATGGCTAGTCATTTTATGCATCTCTATATTTCTCCCAATTTGAACTGTGGACATGGACATTTTAGATTATTTCTTCAACTTAGGTGAGTCCTTTTATTTTTTTTTAAACTTATGGATTTAAATCTGGTTAATTTGCCCTATTATTACCATTCAGAAACTTGGGACCTACACCAAGTTATTGGCAAGGTACAATTCTAATGTAAGGACTTCATGTGTACTAAAGGCTTCATGTGTCACTAAAGGCCCCTGCAATCTTCAGAGAAGGGCTTTGAGTAACGCAAAATAAGGAAACAAAAGTTTGTGAATGTTTGTGTGGGAGTTTGTAGGAAAGTGTATGTGGTAGACTTTGTGTTTTCAGGGTATGTTCAAGTTACACATGACTGCTTGTTGAGTCAAACTGTACTTGTGTTTGTGTGTGTAAGTATCAAACAGCCTTTAATATTGCTGCAAAAACATAATCAATGTACTACTTTTCTGTTATGTAGCACAAGATGATATCTCATATGGGCTATTAGAATGCCACTATTACCAGCTCTATATACAGCAATGCAATTGCTATCATAGTTTCCACCAACTATATAAGATGCTAAATAGATTTCACTGTAACAGGAGCTGACATGTGATACTTTATTTTTGCAGAAAGATGATTTGAGTCCATTATTTTGTTAATAGAAAATTATATTTTAAAATTTCAAGATATTTAAAGTATGCTAGAAATTTGGGCCACATTGTAACAACTGAACCTTTTGTCTTGTGTCTCTATTTCTCAAGCAGAGCTGTGCAACCTTAATGCTTGCTGTGCTGTCCCTCTCCATTCTGCCCTCCCCCCCGCTCTGCCCTCCCCCTGCTCTGCCCCCCCCGCTCTGCCCTCCCCCCGCTCTGCCCTCCTGCTCGCTCTGCCCTCCCCCCCCTGCTCTGCCCTACCCCTCTACCCCTCCCCCTGCTCTGCCCTCCCCCCCACTCTGCCCTCCCCCTGCTCTGCCCTTCCCCCGCTCTGCCCTCCTGCTCGCTCTGCCCTCCCCCCCTGCTCTGCCCTACCCCTCTACCCCTCCCCCTGCTCTGCCCTCCCCCCACTCTGCCCTCCCCCTGCTCTGCCCTCCCCCCGCTCTGCCCTCCTGCCCGCTGTGCCCTCCTGCTCGCTCTGCTCTCTCCCCTGCTCTGCCCTCCCCCCCGTTCTGCCCTCCCCCTCGCTCTGCCCTCCCCCCGCTCTGCCCTCCCCCCGCTCTGCCCTCCCCCTGGCTCTGCCCTCCCTGCTCTACCCTCTCCCAGCCTCGATGTGCTGCCCTCTGCTCTCCCCTAACCTTGTCATGCTGCCCTCTCCCCACCCCACTCTGCCCTCCCTAAGATTCTCCTATGAAATGGAGAACTGTGGGAGGGCACTGGCCTGTCAGGTTCACATAGGCAGTGAGTAGGAAAAATAAACCCACAAATTCTATTTAACATCACATAGTGTCTTTAAAAAATGACTCTACGTTAACTGTGTTACTTTGAGTGCCTTTCTTTTTGGAGGGGCAAGGTTATACTTAAGGCTGATGCTTAGGTGGGGAATCGGGGGGCATCTTCTCACAGATTTGATCATGACTGGTGTTTATCTGCTTTATTCCCCTCACTAGGCATGGTCGTCTGGGGTGTTTATGTCCCGGTGAGATACTGGTAGAAAAGGAGAGGACGCCTCGATTCGTATCAGTGTCTCGTGATTTCAGCTCTCTCTGGGGTAGCGGTTGTGGCACTAGGTCTGAGCACTAGAGGTGTCACATCTCTGGGGAGATGTGTGCACACAGAACTGCTGCTGTGACCCTGCTGCCTGCACTGAGCACTGTGAAGGCAGTGCTGGTGCGCAGTGAAGCCGTGGCCGGCCCTGGAGGCTGCCACCCCACCCAGGCCTAATGCCAGGCGGCTCAACGGGGGGCATGAGCACCTGTTCAAGGAAAAGAAACACCAAGATGGCGTCCTAAATGATTTCTTTTTTCATTTTATTTGTATACGAAAGGGGAGGGATATCAAAATAGCAAATAATTGTTCATTGTAATTTCAGAACAATAGTTGTGAGTCCAAAGTGCTTTCTTTATAGAGAACTCTTGAATAATATATTCCTAAAGCGCAGCATGATGCCATGTCCCTGGTTGTACCAGGACGCCTGCCGTCCAGTGGAGCTGGGGCAGGAGGGCTCTCAGGCTCCCAGCCCTGTTAACCCTTGAGAGGCCATGCGTGCAGTGTGTGCCCTCTAGACAATACCGCAGACCACAGAGCTACCCGGATGTGAGCTGCTTAGTCTGGTTTTATTGCTCAGGGTCTCAAAGATGTAGTTAATTTAGGGCAAAATTTTATATTCAGTGGCGACAATAGAAAAGGCAAATACGTTAAATATACTACTAGTTCTTGAACTTTTACAAAAGATAGTATTTTTATAAAGCACTGCTGTGTAGTAGCTTGTAATTGCTCTGAATGCCTCATTCATCTCGCAGTTGGGGTCCCTCGGACTCTGTAGGAGTCATGTCTGTGTTGCATTTCCACATTTGCCAGAGATGGAGGTGATGGCACTTCATTCTGTTTGGCAT